GATTATAATCGATTATAATGAATTATATTGATTAAAAAAACACTAGAATTATAATTCATTTTGGATGGTTTATAATCGATTATTTTTGTAATTTCATAGATAATGACTATAAATGACAATATAATCGATTATTATCCATGAAACTCCAGTGCGGGTTGCCTTGATTAAAATATTTTTTGTTTTTCAGACTTTTCAAGCAATTGACTGGATATTTGTGCTCGGGGTGGTTTCTTTCTCCAGATCGATTCCGATTTTTAACTAGCCTTTTTTGACAATTTTTATTGTTGTCCAATGATCAAGTTAAAAAAATATATTTCACCTGTAATTTTTTTGTGAAGTTATGGAGGTTTAAAAATTGGCAATTTGGCCCATTTGGGACAATTTGAAGCGTATACATAGACGTTATGAAGGGGGCCGATCGTTTAGCAGACCAATCTTTTAGCATAAAAAGTGAAAAATGAGTCTTTTACCAGACCAACGTAATAAAGTGATGGATGATTGATTGACAGACTCAAAAAGACGCTCAGTCTGGGTACAAGCTTCCCCAATTAAGACAACTACCTCACGACCTGTCAACAAAACTATCAACTTCAAAAACAAAACAATCCAACTTAGCGGCAAAATAAAGATTTACGCGCACAATAACACTCGCGTTGAATTGAAGCGGAGCGGAGCAAGCGATCGCTAATCGCCAATGCCGCGTTTGAAGTTAGCTATCACACTTTATAATTGTTCTGAGTCTGCTAAAAACGAAATTTCAGGGCGTCGCCTTGAATCGAGTAGTCTTGTTTATTTGATTAAATCAAAACAAAGTTACCATATAACTATAAATAATGACCAATTGAAAAAAACTGAAGCTTTGCTATTTTATCTAAAGAAATTAAAATTGTTTAATAGGTAATTTTTGAAAATCTTTTTGGGCAGCCTATAATTTGACTTCTCACCCGTTGCACCTGTTGCATCCTAATTAGTTGGAGTTTTATTTCCAAATTGAGCTGGGAAAAACTAATTGGTCCAATAAATTAACAACTTAAATCCATCGAAAAAATTTAAGCCAACTGTGTAATCAAATGACTTCATCTTAAATTGTTTTTTTTTCTAAAACTGAAGAACAAAAATGAACATGAAAATCCAGCGCTTCAACTAAGTAAATTCAGTTTGTTAAGTAAACCTATTTTCCGTATCTAAAAGATCCGTTCAACATGATTTGAGTCAGTTTCTATGCCATGAAAGTAGCTATTAACATTATAAAAAAGGTAGAAAAAGATGAAACATCAAAGCTGTTACATAATAAATCTTTCTTTCAGGCCGCACAAAATCACACTGCTCGAAAAACCTCACAGGACCTAAAATTCTCTTTTTCAGGTGTGTCTCACGTAAATTATTTGAACTGAAGTATTAATTCTTGAATTAACGTAGTTAAGACTCTTATCTAGGTCATGATGACTGTTTTGTTTTTTTTGGGAAGAATCTCAAAATATTTTCAGACTCACAATTATTTTATTGCCGTTTGAGTTTTGCTTTCAATTACTTTACTTTGTTCCATTGCAAATTCCACAGCGAATTTTGAAGGTCACGAAAAACGTAATTGTCATTTAATTTAAAAAGGTAATTTACTTATCAGACTTCCCAATCGATTGAAAATGTAACCTACTGATTCAGTGTTTTTACATTAGTTAAATTTATCAAAAAAGTTTCCAGCATTAATTGTTTTAGAAGTTCAAAAAGCTTGAAGTCATATTTTTCTCGAACTTTGAAAGTTGAAGTTTTTTTCAAAAAACATGACGGTACTTCTTTCTGTTTACTCAAGTTTATTTACTATTTTTCAACTGTATTTTGGCACTGTTTTCATCTGTAGCTCGACTCAGACGTTAAAATATAGTGGTCTTGAAAAACTGATGACGATTCAAAAGTAAAAAACAAAAGTAAATTATTGTTCTGAGAAAAAATTTATTTAAAACATGCACTGTTACAAAAAAAACAAAAGAAAAACTGTTTACTTGAAGTTACCTATGATTTGATCAATATATACGAGATGATGACTTCTTAAGGTAAGATTAACCGTTTTGCGTAACCTAGCACTTATAGATTAACTGTTGCGATCTGTTCTCAAAGTGGGTAGCAACTATGTGCTAGGTATGTCTTCTTTAACTCAATATTGACAATCATAAAAAACTTACATGAAGTAGAACGTGTGCAAATTTTCAAGCTTTATTTGACGTTATTTCATAGAATTGGCTCGGTGTAGAGAAAAACTTGACAGTGATATTTCATTTAAAAAAAAACACTTTCAACCGTGATTTGAATTACGGCAAAAAACATTTTCTGTAACTTAAAATGAATAAGACAACCGAATAATCACACCACTCAAGGCAATCGACATAAATGTAAGGAAAGATGTTTTTTTTTGTGTGTGAATGTGGTCGGAACATTCTATTCTTGTTAAATTTTGTCAGTGAGACTCACAGCCTTATAATAACAGCCAATTTTGATTTTTTTCTTGTGAAACTTTTTTCAAGAAACACTATGAGCGCATAATTTCGAAGAAACAGCATTTTTTATCAGCTTTATTCATCTCGCTAAAATAAGTCGTCCGAAAAAAATATTCTACCAAAAAAGTTTTTTAAATTTTTTTGTTCTGAAAATTTAAAGTGGGAAGATCTATATATGGGTTAACTTAGTTTTTTATTTTCCGCGAAAAACAGGTACCTCAATTAACCATTGAAATGCGCAAGGGATAGATCAACAAATTATATCTCTTTCAGCCGCTTTTCGATCGACATTATAAAACTTTCAAACAATTGACCCTGTGTCGATAAAAGCTGATATAAAAATTTTGGAGTTAGAGTTTACCTTCGAGTGGAGCGAGCAGGTTCATTATAATAAGAAAAAAAGAGGAATATTTATCAGTTTTTTAGTGCCATTTGCGAATAAAAAATTTTCTGAGCAAAATGGAAAAAAATATAGAAATTTTCAAATTTTTTTTATTATTAAATTGTTTTCAGGTCATTTGTAGACAAAAACTGTTGTTTTATTTGTTTTTTTTTACTAAGAAAGTGTCTAACATGCTTAGGTTCTAAGCTTTTGTTCAGACCCTAACCTTCTATGGTACTTACGGAACATGTTCGGAACGTTCTGTACTACTTGCGCAGCAATAAGCTATCCTTGTTTATATTTTGTTGTTCAATTTTGCCCTATTATTTAAACTTTAGCTCCTCTCATGATACCATGCTCAAATAACGATACAGATTTGGAAAATGGAAGCAGAAAAAAATGTTAAGTTTTATGATTGTGGTCAACCAATTTTTTGTATTAATTGCTCAGCATTGGCACGTCCTTGTTGTTCTTTTTTATATATTTTTAGATAATCACATGTTCAAAACATTGGGTGCAACTTAAAAACTTTTTCGTCTTAAAATGGTTGTGAAAAAAAGGTTTCATTTTGGGGACTAAAATATCTATTTTAAAAGAATAATCATGATTAGATACACGTAAAAGTCATTATAAAAATCAAAATACTTGAAAAAAAAAGGAATAAAGGGAGAGAAACATTAACTATTTAAGATATCTTCTAATCTCTAGTTTGTGTATGGTTTGCTCACAAATGAGCGATTTCTTCTGAAAATTGAATATTTTCGTTCCGACTTTTGAAGAAAACGGAATATTTATGCTCATTGTGTTTTTTTTATTCAGTCATTTTTCGCCGATCGAAATGATAGTTTCAACAACAATTTTTATACCCCATTGAAGATATTGACTCTCTGAGTTCAAAACAAAAAAATTTTCACCTCCGATATTTTTTTGTAAAGTTCTGGGGGTTTGAAAATTTCCAAATTGGCCATGTTCTGGATTAAATTATGCGCGCTTTGAAGAGTTTATTCATAATGCTGAGAGTGTAACGCAAATTATTTATGCGTGACAAATTATCCCACACAACAAAATCGTTCCAACTTGAATTGAGGCTAGCTAGCTAATCGGTCGTATTGGATTCGTACGACTCAAATTTTTACACTTTGATATTGTCCAAATTTTATAGAAGTTCAATATTTTCTTTTCTCAAAAACTATTTGATATGAGTTAAGGGACAGTCGGAACATTCAGGGCTGTAACCTGATATACGAGCAGTCTTGTTTTCTCTAATTGACGGTCGCGTTCGTCAATCGAAGGATTAGTTTGCAAGTTGAGTATTCTTTTTCATCTTCTATTGCATTTTCCCGAATTGGTAACTAATCAAGCTTTTATAGCAACATTAAAAATGCTAACTAAAAATTATCAGAGTATGGTTCCTGATACTCATCGCTGTGATTCATAATTCTCTGAAACTTGTTTACTAAAGCAGTTGTTAACATTGTCATGTTTGGTTTATTAGGTCAAAATGTGGCGTTGCTTTTCTTAAAACCTCAAGAAAAATTTTAAACTTTGTAAATTGAGAAGTTTTTTGCGAAATGCATGAACTTTTTAAGAAAATTTTGATCTTTTTTGGCGCCGATTCCATTGTAAAATTCCTAAAAATGTGCGTTAGGGAAAAATTGTGTGTAAGTGTTCAGATTTTCCCGGTCTGAAACAAGTAGCGGATTTATCGGGGTGGGTGGAGTGACACCCTCCCCTTCCCTACCCTCAAGGACTATACCCCCTGACCACCCAGGTTCCCCCTATCTTGCCAAATTACATTTTACTATATCCTTTTTTGCCCATCAGGTATTGCATTTTTTCAGAAGGCGCCTTTCAAAATCTTCTAAAAATCTATCGGAACATTTTTTCATTTTTTCGGAAATTTGCTTGCAAACTCGGAAAATCTATTTAACCGGCCTAATAAAAAAACGAAAAATATCGCCCCCTAGTATGAACACACCGAATTGTGTCCTCCACTTTCTTACATTAGCATAAAAACACGTTTTCGATTTGAGTCGTACAAAAACTTTCTTTGGACAAACTCAAAAAGAAATCAATGGATTGATCCACATAGTACATCCTTGTGTTTTTCCTTCTTTTTCGTACAGATGCAAGAACGAAGTGGTGAAGCAGAATGGGGAGTGGGTGGAGAAAAGACCCCCCAGTGGGTGTGCGACCGGGGGGCAGGCGGGCGCCGGTGGCAACTCAGCTGCGTCCTCCAGCTCCTCCGCGACGAACCAGGTGGAGCAGAAGAAGCCAAGTAGTGCTGGGTTCTTCTCCTCTGCTCTCTCTTCCGTATTCGCAATGGCCGTAAGATGATTTGAAACTTATATTACACTTCAATATCATCTTTTCAAATAAATCATCGGACAACAAGTTCCGGGAAAAATTGAGAAAAAAATAATCAAAAAGAAATGTTTTCTTCAGCGTAACTTTTCTAAAGAAAGTATAAAGCTTGCACTGCACTGAAAATTGCAGAAGCTTCATGAAGTTTTGGCCAAAGAAGTTTATTTTATAACCAACAAAATTGTTCCAAAAAAGTACAACTTTTCTTCATTTTCTATTCATTTGATCTGAAAGACCCATAGAATAATAAAAATTTTGATCTGATGCAACTACTGGTTCTAGGAAGACAGAGGGGGTCTGCCATACGTTGGCAGTATCCACTTCACCCTCTCCTACGACTTCTCGGGCCAGGTTCTCACGGTGGGGGTTATTGAGGCAAAGAGTCTCACTGCCAAAGACCGAGGAGGAACCAGTGACCCCTATGTCAAAGTACTGCTACTGCCCGAGAAAAAGAAACGACAAGAAACCAAGGTTGTGTACAAGAATCTAACTCCAGTCTGGAACGAGAGTCTTACATTCACAGGAGTGCCTCTGGATAAGCTGCAGAAACGAATCCTGCAATTGATGGTTCTGGACTACGACAAGTTCTCGCGCGATGACCCCATAGGAGAAGTTAATGTGCCAATGTGTGAGTTGGATTTCACACAGCCGATAAATATCTGGAAGGATCTGAACCCGATAGCAAAAGAGAAGTACAAGAGAGGGGAGATTCTGCTGTCGCTGTGTTACAACCCAGTGGGTGGCATTATGACCATCATCGTGATCAAGTGCAAGGAGCTGAAGCCTATGGACATATCAGGAACTTCTGGTCAGTTTTTTCTTACTGCAATATTATTACCCCTAAATTTTTTTGAAGACGTAAAATTTTTTTCTGAAAAGACGCGCGCCCCGAAAAAGTGCATTTTTGGTCAAAATTTTCCAAAAACTTCCTAAAAATTCTTTTTTGCCTATTTTTTATCTAAAATATTGGCGCAGAAAATTTCGTAAGAAAAACGTTTTTTTTAGTGATTTGGGAGAGCTAAAAAAACAATTTGATCAAACTAAACAACAGTTCGAAAAAATTTTCCATTTTTTTTGAAAATCCGCACCCCCCCCCTTGCATGTTAGAAAAAAGCTCTTATCTTGTTCTCTTGGCCTGTTTGGTTTTTAATATTTGGTTCCAAACTAAATGCATAAAAAGCTGAATTTGTACTTTAGCAGATGAAATTATGTCGCTTTGTTTTTTAGACCCCTACGTGAAAGTGTACCAACTCTACCAGGGTAAGCGAGTGTGCAAGCACAAGACCCAATGTCGAATGCAGTCTCTAAACCCCACATTCGACGAGACATTCTCGTTCACAGTGCCGACTACCAAATTAGAAGACACTCAACTGGCAGTGGTAGTCATGGACAAAGACATGATTAAGTGGAACGAAAAAATCGGAAGTGTCATTCTTGGCCGAAGATCCGGCCAGAAAGAAATGCAACACTGGCAAGACATGCTTAAGTCTCGAAGGAAGCCAGTAGCGATGTGGCATTACTTGCGAGCTGACTTGGATTAAAAAAGAGATAAAGGATATAACCATCACCTTCCTAAAAGTGCTACCATACAAAAACATGACAATTTAAATAATTTAATGTACCAATCAAATTGATATATATATATATTTAGTTTTGTAACAAAACCAGTTTCATTTCCTATTTTATTGAACTCATTCTTAATCAATCATATGATTTGGAATTAAACATTTAGTATCGTTTTGTTGTACCTTCACCATTGAAACTTCAGTATTGAAATATAGGAGTCACGACATAAACTCCCTTGAATTCCATAGAACGCCTTATTTTAGAAATTGAAAAAAATGGGCTTAGCACAAAGTTAACTTGTATTTAATAACACCTCTTTGAAAATTCATGCTAATAATACTGAAAATTTGAAAGCTTGGATTGAACCTGACAGCTATCAATTTTTTTCATAACTTTTTTTCAATCCATGAAAAAAAATTATAAATACTTTTTTATTTCCAAACTTGAATGAGTTCGAAAAAATTTGGTTAATCAAGCCCATTATTCAAGAACTAGAAAGATTTCCAGTAAATTGTTAGCTTGCGTCAGTTCGTGGAACAGAAACTTTTTTAGACAGGCAATATAAGTTTCTAACTTCGAATAGTTTCAAATTGTTTTCATAGCTTGAGTTAGTTCGCAGTGGTTCTTTAGTTGCAAGGCTAAAAAGTTGCTTGGCTAATTTAAATTGGTTCGCAAGGAACTAGTTACTTCAAGCGAGCGTGCATTGGTTCCTGTATACTTTTTTTAAAGCTTTTCAAACTATGAAAGTTTGAAATATTTCAATGTGCTTTGAAGCTTGATTCCTTTTGCGATAACTTATAAATATATCAAGACTGCTCGTATCAAGGCGGGGCCCTGAATGTTCCGGCTGCCTTTTAAGCTATATTGAGCAGTAATAACATAAAAATTATATGTAAAATAACAATTTTTTTTTAATTTGAGATTTTTCCAAAAATCATCCCACCACACGACATATTAAGTACAAAGTGATAGATTTCGCTCCTAGTAACAAACCAATTAAGGAAAAAAGCTCCCTTCAACCAATTTGAAACGATTTCTTTGACGGACTAAATGTCCACTTACGCGTTAATAGCTCGCAATTCATCGCGCGTTAAAAGTCCCAAATTTGCCCAAATGGCGATCTTTATACCCCAACAATTTTACGACAAAAATGATTATAGGTGAAATATTTTTTCAAATTCAAGCTCAAAACAACAAAACCTTGCGAATGACCTTTGAAAAAATCCGGTCAAAAATGGCTAGTTAAAAAGTCGAAATTTGTCAGAAGAAAAATAACCTACCCGAGTACAAATATTCTTTTACTTTTGTTACGAAAGTCGGAGCAACAACCAGCTACTCAAGCAATTAAACTGATCGGGCTGGAAGTTGTAACATAGCGGAAACCAATCCGCGATAACTTAAGACCAAACAAAAATGACATTTAAGCCACGAAACTCTGACATAGTTCGAATTAATTTCATAGCTTGACTTGCTCAGTTAAAGTTTTAATGTTTATTAAGCAGAGTACTCCAGCGATAAAACATTCAAACATGCTGTTAGTTTCAAAAATCTGGTAACTTTGAATGAGTTTCAAAAAAAGTCTTCTGGGTAAATTTGCAAGCCTTGAAATTCACATTTCAAACTTTATCGGAAATTTAAATTGGTTTTCAAAATAGTTAAGTTATATCATACAAGTAATTTAAGATTGAAACTTTCAAGTTGTTTTGATAGCCAGTCTCAAAATAGGTCTTAGATGTATTGCAAACAAAGGGGTGTTGTTCTGAAATCGCTGGTTTTAAAATCAAAATTTGTCTTGAATTACTTTAGACAAATATATGGTCTTTCTCATCAACCTTCAAAATTGATTGACATGAGGCGCTCCGCAATGTTTTTTCAAAAACTCTTTCAAACAATCCAAATTCAGAATATTTGAGATGCAGAATATTTTTACTTGCTTAAGTGAGAGTAACTTCAAATCGATTGCACCAGAGTTTGTCAGAAAACTATGCAGAAACTAAAACATTCTCACAAAGTTAGAACACTTGGTCTAAGTCCGAGCTGAAAACACTTTCCAATTTAAAGCAAAATATTTCTTTCAAACAGTTACGGCCTAGCAGTTAACTGCTTCATTTTTTTTCTACCTTCGCAGAAAATGACGGGATATTTCTTCTGCTCAAGTTTTTTCAAAAAATTTTTCAAATTTTGAAAAATAATTGCCTTTTTGCCCCTTTTAACAAAAATTTACCCAACTTTGAAATCAGTTCAAAATAATTCAGGAAACATATTTGGTCCAAATATGGTAATACTAGAGTTGAATCAAAACACTTCACATCGTGTGCGTGTTTGTACGAATGAGTGTGCATGTGGAGTCAAGGACAACAGGCCGACGGGACTTCGAGCCAAACTTTAAACTTCACAAGCAACTCAAAGCAAGTTTGACCCATAATAAGCGTTACTCATGACAAAATGCACCTCTTCGGATATGGCGTTCATAAGTTACCGCAACGGATTTTGGAAAACGCCTCCAAGCAGGCTTTAAATTTAAACCTTTCTTTAGCATTAGTTAGAGGCTTAAAGCTTAAACCTTATAACAAAAAAAATTACTTCGTAGAAAAAAAGAGCATGAAATTAAAAAATTCTTCAAAACAGCCTTCATTTTAATCATATTTCATGAGTTTTTGAGAAAATGTTCGGTTTGAAGTCCTTTACTAACCGATTCAGCTTAAAGTCTTATCGTCTTGAAAGTCCTAACCAGCACCCGTGTAATATGTAACTGTTTTTGTGAGCTAGTTTTTTGAAACCAAAATGAAACCGAACTAAAGTCTTTTCAAATAAACATTTGAAACTAGACAAGTAGAATTACGGAATCAGTTCTGATATTGACAAGCATTTTGGTTTAAATTGTTTTAGATTTTACAGGTGTATTCTAACTTACCTGAGATGAAAAAACTTTGAATTGACACTACGTAAAAACTGAAAGTTTAACTTAACATCCAAAACTTTCGAATCGTTAACTACGCAAAAGTTGTCCATCGTTACTTACTTAAAAACTTCTTAATTTGAACACAAATTTTTGACTATTTCTTCAACTGACTGGACATTTTTCTCGCTCAAAACATAATCAATCTATTTTCATTAAATTTGATCAAATTTTGTTTGAAATTGAAAGACTAAACTCTGAGGAGTAAATTTCTTCCCATTTTTTTGAACAAACAATTTTGATTCAAATCAACAATCAAGTGATATGAAAAAACTGAAATCTGCTGGTGATTACACCAGCTATTAATTAAAATTGTTTATCAAAAGCTTTTGTAAAAGGAGTAATTGAGTAATTACTATCGATCACTGATTTTTGTCGTAGAATTTTGCAAAAAAACCTTATTCCCAAAGTGCTTTGAATGTGACGACAATATAATTCCTTTTTCATACTGGATAACCAAGAATCGCTTTTATTTATGCTAAATCATAGTAGGAAAAAAGTTCTATTAATTTACAAACGCTTTTTCAAAGTATAATTCTGATCAGCCTATTTTGAGTTTTTCAAAAATGAGCAAAACGAGGCCAGCTGTGCACTGGATAAGCGCACATTTTGGTGTTTGCATGTTCCTGGATTCCAGAGACAATTCTTTCAGTATGTTCCAAAATGTAAGTGAAATCTTCAGCACATTAAATTCGTCAGCACAATAGTTTTCTCGCGGATTTCCCAACAATGAGCGAAATTGGCTAGTTGTTCCGGATTCCGCAAATAAAAGCCGGTTCCGAAAATATAAGTGGATTCCACAAACTTAATTGGATCTTAGTTTTGTTTGTTGTACTGAACTGAATCAGACTTACGTGAACCATTAAGAGCTATAGCCAGAGTTATTATCTAGCAAAAGCCAAAATCTTAAGCAAGGATTTATCTATTGTCAGTGGAATCAATCCATCAACAAGTCTTAAGCCACTGTTCAACTGAAAATGTACCCCTTTAATGTTTGGAAGAAAAGAAAATTATTAACAATTAATCCGCATAGCCCTTGACATAATATTTTAGTTCACTTTGTTTTCATTGTTTCATTATTTGAGATTGGAAATTTGTTCAATCTATCAGTAATTAAAACTGGAAAATTGTCCAATTTTTCAGTGTTTGAGATTGGAAAAGTATTCAGTTTTTCAGTATTCGAGTTCTAATTTTTTTTAGTATTTGAAATCGGAAAAGTGTTCATTCTTTCAGTATCTGAAATTTAGCTGCTGAGTTCAAACTGTTGGTAGTAAATCAGATTGAACGGTTGGCCAGTCTTGCTGATGACCTACAACAAAAAGCTTTAATTTAAAAATAAAATTTCAAGACGCGACTTTATATGTTTCTGGAATCTGCAAAGAAAATGCGGATTCAGCTCTAATTTTGGGGATCCCGCTCAGAGTTTGCGGATTCCGCAACAGCTAAATTTCATTATACTTCTAATTAAATATTTATTTGTAAATTCCACAAACTTTTTCGGATTTCGCAAATACTGTTGCGGATTCCGCAAATTCGCTTATTTTGAGCAAGTTTGAGCGGCACAGAGATTTAACTATTTGCTTGTAGAATACAACATCAAAGAAGATCAGAGGAAAGTAACAATGTTGCGGATTCCGCTATTGGACTTTGGCCTGTTGCAGAATTCGCTTGCAATTCACAAAATGCACAGTTCGGCCTCATAACGATGAAAACACTCTTAGAAAAATGACTTTCATGCAATCGCACAATTGTTCGATGTGCACTTTGTCTTAGGGGACACATATTTCAGCGATCTCCGAAGTGAGTTTTGCTGATTATCTGCTAGAGACATGCAGAAACTATAAAAAGCACTGAGTGAGTATACAGCAGAAATAATTGATAACTTATTACTTTGTTTAATGCAAATCTTTGCTTGTTTCTTACAAATTGAATGAAAATCTAGCAAAATGATTAGTGCGGAAAACGACTCCGCCGAATACCGGAGGATGATTTTTTTCTCTACAAATTTTGCAAAGGTCATTTATGGGGGCGGTATTTTCAAAACTGACATTAAAGAACATTTTAACTAGAGGTATGACACCATTTTGTTAAAGTCTGCGGTTTTTGGCGCGCGCTCCACCCTCAAAATTGGCATATGTTGGCGTCAAAGACACCTTCAAG